GCAGTCAGCTTTTGGAAAGTGGCATTGGTGGAGGCATAAATACGCCAAACAACGTAGCCAACAGCAACAGTGGGAATGTCAACAAAAGCAAAAACCAGAACAACCTCAGTACCAGCATTATATCCATGACTTCCACGACCACAACAACAACCACAAATACAAGCAACAATGCCACAATGAAGACCACAGCCACTCCCAACATCCCAGGCAACAATATTGGCAGCAACATGAACAATATCAACAACAACACACCCACCAACAATACTACAAACAACGCTGCAAACAACATCAACAGCCAAAACAAACCATGGAGCAGTGCAGCAAGCGCTGGGGCAGCAGCTGGTGGTTCCCCTGGGGCACCACTCCCACTGGATGGTGGTCCCCTACCATCCTCCTCAGTCCAACAGTCGCCGTTTTTTCAGCGGGAGTTCCCCAAACTTGGTGGTGGCAATTCACTAGCAGAGTCATCGCCTCAGTATGGGCCGGGCCCCAGCTTACGGCCACAGAGTGAGTCTAGCTTCCATTGAGTTCATTCAGGGAATAGGTTTTAGTAGTATTAAAACTTGAAATAAGCAATGAGGCTAATGTAATATTATGGCTGTAAACTAAGATGTACTCAATTTTCTCTCAATTTGTAGCAGAGGGAAGTTGGATTCAGGGTGGTGGACGTGGTGTAGCTCAAGCACCGCAGGATGAGCGCCTGCCCAGTCCACAAAACCCAGGTACATTTAATGGTAAGCCTTACTTCAGCCTATTGCTAATTGAATATTAATGGAATATATACAAGGATGAACATTTCTTATAAGTAAATTTTTTGTTTTAGCAGGCGATATTCATCCCCCGAATCGTAATCAGGGGATGGGATCAAGAGGGACCCCTCCTGGTGGTCCTGCAGGAGTTCCAGGGGGCCCTGTTGGTCCGATTGGGCCAGCACCACCTCATGGTCCTACACCACAATATAGAGGAGTTGTTCCTCCTTATGTGAGTACACAGAAGACCTGTTTCAAATATGTTTCAAATATTTATTTTACCCAACACAACTGAAAGTGAGATGTATTTTATTTTAAGCAAGTAAAAAATATATAAATACTATCAGATATAAGTTTAACTCTCACTTTTGCCCTCTAAGTTTGTTGTTTATTTCCTCTTAACATTCTTATTTGTTAGTTAGGCAGAAATTTCATACAATAAATATTACCTCTCAGTTATGCCATGGCTAGAATTAAAAGTTTTGAAAGGCATCTAAGACTTGACTATCAGGCTTACGTGATTGCAACAATATGCCCCAGTACTGTAAATTTTTTATGTTAGATTCGTCCTAGAGCTATGTTTTTTTTTTATGCTGACATGAATAACAATAGTAATAGTTATAAAAGTAAGACATTTTAAGAACTCTTCCTTAAAAATGGAAGGAGGCAAAAGGTAGGCCTAGTAGTTGACTTCCTTGACTACAAAGTGCTTTTAGAATGTTGTCTTTCTGCTAGTGAGGTTAAATCCATTCTGTATTTTGGCATGGGCAAAAATAATAATTACTTTCTCTCTCTCTCTCACTTTCAGCAAGTAATGCGTAATAGCTTCCCTGGAGCCTTTCCCCCCAACTACCCGGGTCACCCTCGCGCTCCCTACGTGCGTGACCAGAGGTATAGAGGGAATGGACCCTCCCCTTCAGGCAACAGTGAGGAAGATATAGTTGTGCCTCCTCCTATTATAAAGAAGGAGGCCCTGGAAGGGTTTGAGGATGATCCATGTGTTACAGAAGGCTGGGCTACTAGTGCAGCGGAAGTTGATTATAAGTAAGTATCAGTTTCATAAAATTTATTTATTTTACCATTTTAGTGTAAGTCTGTACATCTTGCCTCTGTGTCATCCTAATCAAAGTAAAGTAAGTAGTTATTAGATGTATTTTTTAAATTGATAATCAAGGGTATAATTGTCATTGGCCTTAATATGGCATTTTCTAATTAACTTTTTATTCATGTTTAGCAAATCTCAAGCATTGAGCTGAGATCGGTAAATTTATGAAATCGTCTTGATTTGGATCTCCGAAGACTACAATTCCTTGACCATATCTTGCTGTCCAGCTGCAAATAGGCACTAGCAATTCAACTTCGACCTTAACCAGTTTTTATCTTTGATGTATGTAGACCTTGAAATTAGACAACATTTAATGTAAGTCCTGTGCTGATTAGACAGAGACAAACACTGATAGGGGGGGTAGAGAGGGGGAGAGGCATACATCATAATGGTGATGGAGTAAAGAGAAAGGCAGACGTGACAAGCATTCTTAATCTATACCTTATATGTCCATATATAAAGAGGCATAGACACTGCTAAGAGGTATTCATGTAAGAGGTGTTCTGGGACACTAGAGAATATCAAAGAAATAGCAATGAAAATGTTTGTGCATATTGTGGAGGCTGTACATACCATACATAATACTTACTGTCCTCATTCACTAGTAGAAGAAAGGTAGGATTGGTGCTCCAAAGCATTCATATTTTTTATTAAGGGAGACAAGGGGGGACCAAGCAGATGTCTGTAGGGTGTGTACATGCCATATATTATGATGTCTTATTTCATACACATGTCCCTTCACATAACAAAAGGGCATAAGAGAGTGGGGGAATGGATTTGGGGTGTAGCTGGCTAAAATTTGCCAAATATATCAGAATTACTTCCTCACTTCTTACAGTTAACTGATTTCTGCAGAATTGTGAGATTGGTTGATATATATATATATATATATATGTATATATATATATATATATATATATATATATATATATATATAATATATATATATATAATATATATATATATATATATATATATATATATATATATATATATATATACTACACACTACATTCCCCCCCCCCCCCCTTAAAAAAAGTAGCATTTTTAGCAAGTAAACGTCCTGTTCATTTGAATAAAATATCTGATTCACATCCTCCATCATGTGTATTTTTGTTGTTTTTTACATTTACTCCTGTTCATGTATTAACCCAACGCTGCCGGCTATCAGAAATCTCTCAGCATTATAAACTGCTGGGTGCGGGAGGCTGCTATATGTCGCAAGGGGTTAATAGATTTTTCGTAGAATAAGGTATAATTTTTGCAGTCTTTATAAACTGGTTATTTTTCTTATTTTTGCAGCCAAAAATTAAACTTCAGTGAAGATGAAGGAACTGTAGATGAAGATACTCCTACCCTACGAAATACAGAAAGGAAGTCAGATCGAAGGGAAAGATGGGAAAAGGACAGAAGCCGGGAAATAGGCCGAGAGTCAGAGGAACGCCGTGAAGTGTCTAGAGAACCTGAGCGAGAATCTTCCATGAGAGAGAAAAATCCCCAAGGTTCTAGAGAACGTGACAATAGGCGCGACATGGCTGAGGACCGTCGAGATCGTGACCGCAGATTCTCTCCTGGGGACCCTGAAAGGTGGCAACACCGAGGAGGTTTTGATTATCGTGGAGGATCTGGTCGTGATTATGGTGGCCCTCAGAATTCTGGGAACCGGGGCTGTCCCCCCCAACATGTGCAGGCACATAACTCCCCTCATACTGTACCTGCAAGCACATCTGTGCATCCCCCATCTCGCCCACCCTCTCTCACCCCTGTGCATCCTCCTGCTCATCAGTTAGCTCATGCACCATCTTTGTCACCATCATCACACCCCAGGGAAGAAGAGGATTCATGGCGCGATAAACGGGTCCCTGGAGATGAGGTACAGGTTGCCTTGGAGAGAGCAAGGCAGCGCCATGAAGAGGAAGAGAAGCGCTATGAAGAAAAGAAGAGGTTCGAGCAGAACAAGGTTATCAAGAAGTCCAGAGATCCAAGGGTTTTTGACGAAAGGGAGAGAGAAGAGCCTGATGCTGTCAGGGAGCGTTCACGTGGCAGTAGTGAGTCGAGGGACGATAAGCCTCCCAGCCGAGATGGCCGGGACTATCGGCAACACCCAGACCGCAGAGAAAACTATAGGGACAGTTACAGGGATCATCCACGTGAGCAGTATGACAGACCTTTTGACAGACGAGATGGACAGCGGGATTCACAGCCAGTGTTTTCCTCGCAGTTCAAAAGCAAGCTACCTCCAAGGTTCCAGAAACAGCAGCAGCAACAAGAGATGATGCGTGCTGGAGGGGGTGGCCAACCCTTCCGTGGACAAAATTCACAGGCAGCTCCATTATTTGAACCACGCTTTGGTTCTAGTGCAGGAGGACGGTTTATGAATCGGGATAATGAAAGTAAGTGATACAGAGTTTTAAAGTTATATATTAAGAGACATGAGTCAGAAAGGTTATAAGATAGTTGTTACAAAGGTTTAAAGCTATCTGTATTTAGAGATAGGAAACTGAAAAGACGTAAAATAATTATTACAGTGGTGCCAAATGTAAGATTGCTTTGTTACAGAGCTAGATTTTTATTATCAGATTATTATATTGGCAGGTAAATTGTATTTTATGTTTGAATCTAGTCTGTTTTACCATAATTTTTTCAATTAGATAAACTTCAATTCACAAGGGATCTGTAAGTAAACTAATTTGCTATTTTCATGTGTTTTATTAATACAGGTAAGGAGAGAAGAATGAGGACAGACAGTGATACCTCTGGGGAAATTACAGATGAGAGGCCAGCAAGTGGACTTTCAGCAGAACGCCACAGGGATGATAGAGAGGAAAGGCTGGATCGCCCAGACCAGAGAGACTATAGATATGATCGATCTGATAGAAACGATAGGTCAGAGCGCCTAGACAGGATTGAGAGGTCTGAAAGACCTGACCGCCCAGATCGCTCAGAGCGCATTGAGAGACCTGATCGCTCAGAGAGAATTGACCGATCAGACCGTGGAGAGAGAATCGATAGGCCAGATCGCTCAGAAAGAATTGACAGGCCAGATCGTTCAGAACGCATTGACAGACCCGAGAGAGTGGAACGACCAGAAAGGGTTGATTCTCGAGGCAGGGATGAATTCTACGAAAGACCAGATAGAGATGGGTAAGGGAATACAAGTATTTATAGATAGATGTTTGCATTGACACTATTAGGGAAGTGAAGTTAGTTCTCATATTATGAAGCACTTGAGCTTAAGTTGAGTATGTACTTTGACTTCAATTTTACATATTGGAAGGAAGAGTATACTTTTTATCCTTGATGACACTGTATTAAAAAATTTATTTTGACAGGAGGTATCGTGGCCGAGGCTCCCAAGGAAATTATAGGGATCGGGACCGTGACCGTGATCGCGACCGTGACCGCGACCGTGATTGCTGGGCACGAACATCCTACTATGAAAAGTTTGAGGAACGTCTTGAGCCACGAGACTTGGATTATGATAGACGGTTAGCTTTCCTACTAAACCTATTTTATCAAGCTAAGATTTGAGTCATGAGGAATGACATGCAAGCTTCTGTAGCATTGCATGTATAATTGACAGAGATTAGTACTATTAGTAATCTGTCATTAGTCCTAAATTTAATGCTTGTCTAATTGAAATGGATACACATTATTGTATATATTGTATATATTTGTATGCCGGATTGTAAGTAAATGGTTGATCATCAATTTTATTGTGGATATGATTTTGAAACAGACTTGTTTAAAGGTAAAAGAATAACCCCTTTTGTTTACAGGCGAAACATGAATGGGGAAGATTGGAACAACCGGGGCAGAGACTTTGAAAGGGAAGGAAGCAAGGGCCGTAAAATCTTTGATGAAAGAAATGACCGCTCTGAAAGGAGCGAGAGCTTTCTTGAGCGCCGTAGTGACAATAAAATGGAGTCATGGGGCCGCTCATATGAGATTGACCCTGTGATCCCTAAGGAGCCAGATTATGATTCGGGTGAACTCCGCATGGTGCACAAGGAGTGGGACAAGGAGGTAGAAGCTGCAGAGAAGCAGATGGAGCTACGGGATGAAATGCGAGACAGGCCACAGCGGCCAGACAGCCGAGACAGTCGAGCCAGCAGGGACTCGCGTGCTAGCAAGGATTCCTTTGAGCGATGCCCCTCAAGTGCACCTGCCAGGGAAAAGAAATTGGAGATAACTTCCTGGGCCGATGCCACCTACGAGTATGATGATTATTACAGATCGGAAGGCAGGGGGGAAGAATTTGGCCGAGAACAGACCCTCTTAGAGTCTCCAAAGAAACTAGAGGTCAAAGAGGAAAAGCCCCCCAAAGGGAATGAAGAGGAAGCAACAAAGGAAGAGAAGGAGGTTCACCGTGAAATACTGAAGGAAGGAGCCCGTGCTACTCATGCTCCAGCTCCCATCACCAGGGAGAGACTAGAGGCCTCAGACAAGGAAAAGGAGATCAGAAAAAACATGACAACACTCAAAAAATCTCAGGGGGAACCTGTAAGGAAGATAGAAGTGAAAGAAGTGGTTCATCCCAAGGAACAGAGAGACAATGTTTGGGCGAGCCGTTCAAAAAACGCAGAACGCTCCCGCCCCGATTCCAGCGGTTTGGCAACAACCACCACCAGCACAGCCGGCAACAACACAACCAAGGCCGTGGAGTCCAACATATGGGGCGTGGCCAAACAAACAACCACAAACAGCGAGAGCACCTCCCCAATCACTACAACAGCCACAACAGTAACTGTGAGTCAGGTCAGCAACACTATCACCAACACCACCAACACCGGCACCACAGCCACCGAGGGAACAGCACCAACAGTGGCAAGGGTGCCTACTCCTCAAGAGCCAATTGGCACCACACAACCAACACCACAGCCGATGCAACAGCAACCTCAGCCATTAATGCAGATCCAGCACCAGCCACCAATACAGCAGCAACAACAGCCACAGCAAAATCAGAAACCTCAACCGCTGGCCGGGACCATAGCAGAAACCACCACCACTACAACCACTACTCTGGCACAAGGGTCTTCTCAAACAGCAACCGGCGGAAGAGAGACCACTGAGGGGAAGAGTGGAGAAGTGGCTGAGAGGGAGAGTGCCGAGCGGGGCGGGGGCAGCAAACCAGTGTCGTCTGGAGGTCGTGGCAGCCGTGGAAATCGCTACGAATCCTCCCGAAGTGGAGGTCGCAGTGGTGGACCCAGAGGTAGCACCTATCCTGTTTACCGTGGTGGCCGAGGGAGTCGCAGTGGGGACTTCAACCGCAGAGGAAGAGGACCACCACCAAGATTCCAGAAGCGCAACTACAGAGGTGACGAGGAATATTACTATGAAGACTACCATCCACGTTCTCACCGTGAACGAAAGGTAAATGGCTTAATTTGTTAACAGATAATATAGAGGTTTTGTATTATCCAGAAATATTTGACTAAGCACTGAGTTTAATAATAAAAATAATACATTTATTCGCCCATATTGCAGGATGATTGGAGCAACAGCTGCGAGGGAGACTGGAACAGCCAAGGAGGCGGAGGGAATAGCAACAGCGCCAGCAGCAACCAGAACACCAACAGTGGCTCTGCTCAACCCAACAACCGGGAGGAGAGCGGCGATGGTGAGCGCTCCCAGTTAGGTCGAGGTGGCGGCCGGGGGCGTGGGGAAACCAGGCGGGGAGGCTCCAGGGGTGGTGGAGCAGCAGGAGCTTCAGTCCCTCAGGGCCATGCTGGGGGCAGGGGGCGGTCAGCACCAGCACACAGTGTTAGTGGTGGTGGTGGTGGTGGCAAGGCAGGTACTGCTGATGAGGGTAAAGCAACTGTTGTAGAGGCAGGACAGACAGATGCTGCTGGACGCAAGCTGCAACAACAGCAGAGTAGGTTTGACCGTATGCCACCTAGATTCCAGAAACGTCGTGAATTTGAGCGTCAAAGAAATGGCGTCAGTGGAAGTGGTGGTGGTGGTGGCAGCAGCAGCAATAATGGTGGTGGTGGTGGTGGAGGGGGTGGTGGCGGTAGCAAGAGAGGTCGAGGGACACCTGTGTCGTCGTCGGTCTTGGGCTCTGGGGGGGTCGGAGTGGTATTAACGCCAGCAAACAAGCCAGGTGTAAAAGAAGGGACTCCTGAGACAACTGAAGAGGCTGATTGGGAAACAGCATCTGAAAGTAGTGATCCCGAGGCTCGGAAGGAGAACAAAGAGAAGGCTTCGAACCCAGCCCCTAAACCCGACCATCGTAAGGGAAGCAAAACAGACAGGAAGATCGGTGGTGGTAGTTGGGCTCCCTCATCAGGTGGGGGGTCGTCCCAGGGCCGCAATTCACTTGGCAAGGAATCTAAAGTTGATGGCCCAGGTGCTCCCCAGAGTGCCAGCCAGCAGAGGTTTGGTGAGAAGAAGGCTCCCCATAAAAATGAAAGAAATAAGAGTGGACCAACAAGTGGAAAGGGCACAAAAAATGAAACTACTGTCAATCAAGTGCATGAGATAAAGTTAAACCCTAACATGGTACATCAGGCTCTCTCTGAAGTCAACAACAAAAGTAAGCCCAAGCAAGAGAAAGCCAACCCATTGGAGGGCATCGACTTGAATAATTATGCTAGTAAGTAGTTTCCTGTTGCCATTTCCACAACAATCCATGTCAACCAACTCATGATGAATTGAATAAGGTCAAATGTTGCCCTCGTGAGGTGATTTTGATTGCTTTAGCATAAGCTAAGGGAAAAATTTTGGAGCCTTTTATTTCACCAAGCTGATTCTAAATGTTTTGTATGGCCCTGTTTATTTTTATACTTTATTTTGGGTTTGTTTTGTTTTTGTTTTTGAATTCCATTGTGCTTTTCATAGTTTTTTCAGAGCATGCAACTACTAATGTGGGACGCAAGCTGCAACAACAGCAGAGTAGGTTTGACCGTATGCCACCTAGATTCCAGAAACGTCGTGAATTTGAGCGTCAAAGAAATGGCGTCAGTGGAAGTGGTGGTGGTGGTGGCAGCAGCAGCAATAATGGTGGTGGTGGTGGTGGTGGTGGTGGTGGTGGCAGCAGCAGCAATAATGGTGGTGGTGGTGGCAGCAGCAGCAATAATGGTGGTGGTGGTGGTGGTGGTGGTGGTGGTGGTGGTGGTGGTGGTGGTGGCAGCAGCAGCAATAATGGTGGTGGTGGTGGCAGCAGCAGCAATAATGGTGGTGGTGGTGGCAGCAGCAGCAATAATGGTGGTGGTGGTGGCAGCAGCAGCAATAATGGTGGTGGTGGTGGCAGCAGCAGCAATAATGGTGGTGGTGGTGGTGGCAGCAGCAGCAATAATGGTGGTGGTGGTGGTGGCAGCAGCAGCAATAATGGTGGTGGTGGTGGTGGCAGCAGCAGCAATAATGGTGGTGGTGGTGGCAGCAGCAGCAATAATGGTGGTGGTGGTGGTGGCAGCAGCAGCAATAATGGTGGTGGTGGTGGTGGTGGCAGCAGCAGCAATAATGGTGGTGGTGGTGGCAGCAGCAGCAATAATGGTGGTGGTGGTGGTGGTGGCAGCAGCAGCAATAATGGTGGTGGTGGTGGCAGCAGCAGCAATAATGGTGGTGGTGGTGGTGGCAGCAGCAGCAATAATGGTGGTGGTGGTGGCAGCAGCAGCAATAATGGTGGTGGTGGTGGCAGCAGCAGCAATAATGGTGGTGGTGGTGGCAGCAGCAGCAATAATGGTGGTGGTGGTGGCAGCAGCAGCAATAATGGTGGTGGTGGTGGCAGCTGGGTAGCAAGAGAGGTCGAGGGACACCTGTGTCGTCGTCGGTCTTGGGCTCTGGGCGGGGTCGGAGTGGTATTAACGCCAGCAAACAAGCCAGGTGTAAAAGAAGGGACTCCTGAGACAACTGAAGAGGCTGATTGGGAAACAGCATCTGAAAGTAGTGATCCCGAGGCTCGGAAGGAGAACAAAGAGAAGGCTTCGAACCCAGCCCCTAAACCCGACCATCGTAAGGGAAGCAAAACAGACAGGAAGATCGGTGGTGGTAGTTGGGCTCCCTCATCAGGTGGGGGGTCGTCCCAGGGCCGCAATTCACTTGGCAAGGAATCTAAAGTTGATGGCCCAGGTGCTCCCCAGAGTGCCAGCCAGCAGAGGTTTGGTGAGAAGAAGGCTCCCCATAAAAATGAAAGAAATAAGAGTGGACCAACAAGTGGAAAGGGCACAAAAAATGAAACTACTGTCAATCAAGTGCATGAGATAAAGTTAAACCCTAACATGGTACATCAGGCTCTCTCTGAAGTCAACAACAAAAGTAAGCCCAAGCAAGAGAAAGCCAACCCATTGGAGGGCATCGACTTGAATAATTATGCTAGTAAGTAGTTTCCTGTTGCCATTTCCACAACAATCCATGTCAACCAACTCATGATGAATTGAATAAGGTCAAATGTTGCCCTCGTGAGGTGATTTTGATTGCTTTAGCATAAGCTAAGGGAAAAATTTTGGAGCCTTTTATTTCACCAAGCTGATTCTAAATGTTTTGTATGGCCCTGTTTATTTTTATACTTTATTTTGGGTTTGTTTTGTTTTTGTTTTTGAATTCCATTGTGCTTTTCATAGTTTTTTCAGAGCATGCAACTACTAATGTGGGACTTTTGCCAGTACTAATGATGGGTTCAGTTTTTCCTTGATTCTCAGTTATTTTTCCCCCTTTTATTATTGCTACACAATTTCATCAGTTTATTACTTCTTTAATATTTTCTTTTATATAGTTAGATTAGACATTTAAAGTATTGGTTACTTAAATATGTTCGGCAACTTGTGCTAAAGCAACAATACTAATGTTTGACATAGATTGCTGCATCTGATTCTAACATTAGTGTGGACCCTTCTTTTGAATTATTTATTTTGCACTGTGTAGTATAACTTTCTGTTGTAGTATATCAGTGTATAAAGAAATTTAGAAAAAAGAATGGTGGTGTGTATCAATGATATAACAATATACTCTGGGAAAGAGTTCCATGATATTAACTTCCAAACATTTTCATTTTCAGGTGTTGTGATTGTAGATGACCAGCCACAGGTTTCTGAACTCATCGGTGATATTCTTGATTCCAATGATGGCTTTCAGCAAGTCACAAGACGCAAGTCTGGCAAGGAAAAGGGCAAGCCAATGCCTGAAGAAACGGTCTCTGCTGCTGCTGCTACTGCAGTAGTTACAGAGGCAGCAGGAACAACAGGGACAACTACTGTGTCTGGACCTGCCCCTTCCTCTAATGCCAAGAAACAACCAAAAGAGAAGAAGAGTCGATCCAGCAAGTCGAGTGGTTTTGAGCGATCTCGTCAGAGTAAGCTTCCCCCAAGACTAGCCAAGCAGCGAGAAAATAATCGTATAAATGCTATAAAGAATGCTGGTTCATGTAGCCCTGTTGAATCTCCTACCAACACTCTCTTCCCAGTAAAAGACTCTGCTTCATTGCCACCACCAAAGAATGCCTGGGATAAACCTTTAACAGCAACACTGAGAGCAAACTCGCCTTCCCAGGCTGCAGCAGGAACAGATGGAGTCGGCCAGGGTGGAAGCAAGCCACCTTCATTCGATAACCATGACAGTGGTGTTGAAATCAGTGACCAGCCCAACTCTGGTGGCAGTAGCCAGCGGTCAAGTCCAAGTGATGACCCAACTAACTTTGCCAAGGTTGATAAAACTACATTGGATGGGACATCAGTTCCCTCCCAGACCATCATTTTTGAGAACACCAACTTCAAGGCTGCAGGAACTGTAAATGCAACTGTTGGTGCCGAGTACAAGGCCAAGTTTGGTGAAGCTCCAAAGCCTCAGAGACAACGTGAGAGTAGAGACAGGAAGAGTGCTTCTCCAGAGGCATCCCTTGCCATAAAAGAGGAGAAGGATAAGAAGTCTGAAAAGCCTGAACCAATTGAATTGCCGCTAAGTTTCTCTACCAAAGTGGAAGAAAATGGTGCTGATATGAAGCTAGACTTTACATTTGATTCTGAGCTTGCAGAAGTGCCAGGATCTGTGAGCACTAAGGGCATCAGCCTTCCAAGATCACTGGTGATGACATCTGGAAGTATGCAGAGCCCTATTTCACCATCAACAGATGATCTCAACTTGAAAATTGCATCTGTCAAAAAGGTCTGGGAAACCATGGCACCTGTGCCAGAACATGCTGAAGATGTCACAAGTTCAGTGGCATTTTCTACTGCTAGTTTCTCTGCTGTGGATAGTGTTGCAGGACTTGATCATTCACCTGCATTAGAGTCCTCATTCACAACAAAGGATTCAGCAACTGTTGGGAGTTGTGAGGATCCTTCCCAAGATGTTGGTGGATACCAAGGAGGATCACCACTACAACAGGGAGCGGCTATGGGCAGTGGAATGGTCTATACCTCTTCTGTTGCAGCATACACATCATCAGCAGCATATACATCATCAGCTGCAGCATCCCTAGCCAAGGCAGAAGTCAGCCGCTCAGGCAATGTGTGCAAGGTAAAGCCACAGCAACAAGCAGCAAGCAGTTCGGTGTCCCCAGGCCCAGGAGGATCGTCCTTGGGGATCCCTAGTGGATCTTTGTCTCCTCCTCTGGCTTCAGGCTCAGCTGGGCCATCCAACAGCAGCATCTATCAAGCCTTGGGTGGGGGAGCTGCTACTTTTGGTGGCATTGGTGGCACCATTCCCTCACCTCCTATGATGTATAATTCAAACCAACAGTTGCCACAGACTGGCCTCTACCAGCCATTTTTGGATGGCGCTCCTGTGCTGGGACAGAGAGGAGCATCACAGTTCTCTCAATATCCACCTTATGGTCTTGGCCAAGGTTTGGGAAGCAATGCATTTGGTCAGCAGTCCATGTTCTTGCAAACACCACCACCACTCACAACACCAGCTGATCTCTATACCAACAACCTATCACAATACCGCTTACAGCCTGCTGGCTTTGGACAGAGTCAACCTCAGAACCAAAATACTGTGTTGATATCTTCTGCTTCAAACTCCCTAATGTCATCGGCAGTGAAACCCTCTTCACAAACTTTTGGCAATTCACAGCAGAATTTTGGTACCATTGGGTCTAAGGCTGGGACACCATTCCAGCAGAGTGGCCTAGGAACTGCTTTGCAAGGTGGTCCTCAGCCCTCGCAATTGTATATATATGATCCCAGTCAGCCCATGGGTCTCTTAGGATCCCAGCTGGTCCAGCGACCTGGTGTGCAGAATTCTGTTATTCAAACAATACAGCAGCCAAGTTCTTTCTACTCAAACAATGGTGCTGGAGCCCCAGGAGGTCCACCCACAGCACCTCCAGCAGGTCCTGGAGGCCCACAGCAGCCAGCAGGATTCTACACTGCCTCTGGATCTCCCCTTCAAGCAGCAGTGCAACAGCAAGCACAGCCACCTCTACAAACTCCACCTGCAGCCTATGGCTTACAAGGCTTTGGTAATCAGTCTCAACCTGGACCGGCAGGTGTAGGAATGCAGGGTTTTGGGTCTAGTATGAGCCTTGCAGCACAGCAACTGGGAGCTCAGCCATTTCGAGGTGCTCCCACACTTCCTGCAAGCTTCCTCAAGTCGTTGCAACCTGGAGCCAACATTCAGGATACTGCCCGCCAGCAGCTCAAGTCCCCAGGAGCTGGGCAGAATTCCTTTTCATCAACATTTTTCCCAACTTCAAGTGAGTACTTGTGTATTTGGAATTCTGACTACAGTTTTATTCATTTTTTATCATTCTGTATATTTATTTTCAAAGATGCATGAATTCATATTTGCTTCTGCTCTTACCAGTCTTTGCAGGGTTTACTCATGATATTTTATGATATACCTCTGCATGTGAGTTATTGTTCGAGTAACTTCACTAATAATTGTTACAAAATATGAACATGAAGATCACTAGTTCATAATGTGTTCTATACACTTGCAGGTGGTATATCCTCATCTGTGAACAACAGCTGCAGCACGAGTAGTGCACATACAGTGTCTGGAGTACCACAAATATCTTCACCCAAAACTCAGAGCAGAAAGATGGCATCTCAGCCTGGGTTGTCACACCAAAGCTCAAATAGGAATGCTTCATATACATCTCAGAATACAACACAGGTAATATACTTTTTCTCCTTCCTTTATGGGCATTCCAAGTGCATGAGATGTTGATGTTCTTCATGCTGTCCCTTGCCATTCACTTCAAACATTACATACTTTTGTGTAAGGGGTTTCTATTTTATTGATTTAGCATTTAGGGAACAGTCCCAAATAAGGGGGGTATTAAAGGGTTAAATTGAGTTAGCTAGCCTATGTTATATATACAAGAATGAAGTAACTAGCAAAGGACTTTTTGAGCCAAAACAGGTTTATTTCTTGGGAGGTGCAAGGGCATAAGTGCCAACAGGTAAACTTCAGACACAGGTAATTAGAGCCAGGTACACCTGTATGGACTTTTGCTTCTCACAATCTTGCATATGGCATATGCACATAGATATGAGTTTGTGAATGTTCAAAGAACACTTTCTATACCAATGTCAAAAAAAGAAGAAATGTGAGTTTTGTGTACATTTATATGTGAAATATGCTTTCCATCAAGAGTACTGAGTACAAAGCACTAATATTGAAAAATAATAGTATGATTATGATGATAATATTTTGGTTTGGAATAGCTCTAGCGGTCAGTACTGTCCACTGTTGGCAAATTTGTTTTAATTTGAAATTTGTCGTTTCTGTTGTAAAGAGCACTTCAATGTGAAAGGCCACCCATGGTTAGAAATTTGAACTTTGGAATAATAAGTGAAATATTGATTATTTTATGTTGAAGATGATAGTACCCAATGATACCTGCTATAAGATAAAAACTATATCCATTTGCTTCATAGGGAGTTGATACAGCTGGTGCACCCTTTTCATGCATTTCCATTAAAAAATGCAACCTGAGGATGCTACAATTGGTTGTAGTTACCATAAATATGGAAAATACTGACCCCACCCAGGCATCTGATCATTTAGTTCACTTATTTGCAAAGATTATGCGCGCAAATACTGAATGCCAACATTTTTTTTTTACAAATATCCATAAAGAAAAGGATTTTATCAGGTGCAACTGTTTTTTTTTTTATGTAATAAAAGGGTTTACTCCTATTAAATCAGTATGATTAAAACAGTTGATCTTAAGTGCATTTTTACATGCATATTAACCTTCTTGAAAATTAAAACCACCCTGTGACCAGCTAACCTCTCCCCACCCCTTTAGCAGTGTCAGGAAAAATTCATTGGTCCTGGAAATTCTCACTGTAAAATAATCTTACATATGTGCTTACATAGTTCTCAAATTTGAAGCAATGAATCATAATCATATAACAATTTTGTACTGATATTGCCATCCACAATACTCCATTTCTTCACAATTGGATTTTCAAAAAGAAAAAAAAAAGGAAAAGAAAAAAAAAAAAAAAAAAAAAAAAAATATATATATATATATATATATATATATATATATATATATATATATATATATATATATATATATATATATATATATATATATATATATATATATATATATATATATATATATATATATATATATATATATATATATATATATATATATTAGTAATTTCAAGTTTAAAGTTAGTTGTCTTTATGATAGGGATCTCTACTTTCATGGGGGGGGGAAAAAATGATACCTTTACAAAGTATGGTCTCTATTGAAGGCAATAACTCTGATTAACTTGGCAGTGATCTCAAATCAAAGTACACTTTTTTTCTTCTTCTTTCCTTCCTTCTTTCTTTTTTTCTTTTTTATTATATCCTTAAAATTAGCAAAGAAATAATTGAAATAACTAACTTTGGAATGTGTCTCTTAAGGTCGTGGTCTGTCCAGGATTCATGAATTTCTAGTGCCTCTATATCTTATGCTTTCTTTTTTTAGTAGTTCAGGGATAAATTTGACCAATGGGATGGTCTGGCACAAAAAGTCTCATTTTTCAGTTAGTTGATATGCAAACATTTGTATTCTTTTCTTTCTTGCTTGCTTTCTATTTATCTTTTCTTTTTTTTCTTTTTTTTCACTCTGCTTTTGTTTGTTCCCTTTTATTTTTACTTTATTTCCTTTCATTTTTTCTTTTCTTTCCTTCCCTTTCCCACTTCCTCTTCCTTCCCCTCTTCCTCTTCCTCTTCCTTCCCCTCTCCCTCTTCCTCTTCCTTCCCCTCTCCCTCTCCCTCTTCCTCTTCCTCTTCCTTCCCCTCTCCCTCTTCCTCTTCCTCTTCCTTCCCCTCTTCCTCTTCCTCTTCCTCTTCCTCTTCCTTCCCCTCTCCCTCTTCCTCTTCCTCTTCCTTCCCCTCTCCCTCTTCCTCTTCCTCTTCCTTCCCCTCTCCCTCTTCCTCTTCCTTCCCCTCTCCCTCTCCCACTTCCTCTTCCTTCCCCTCTCCCTCTCCCTCTTTCTCTTCCTTCCCCTCTCCCTCTTCCTCTTTCTCTTCCTTCCCCTCTCCCTCTATCTGTTCCTTTCCCTCTCCCTCTTCCTCTTCCTCTTTCTCTTCCTTCCCCTCTCCCTCTTCCTCTTTCTCTTTCTCTTTCTCTTCCTTCCCCTCTCCCTCTTCCTCTTTCTCTTCCTTCCCCTCTCCCTCTTCCTCTCCCTCTATCTGTTCCTTTCCCTCTCCCTCTTCCTCTTCCTTTTCCTTTTCCTTCCCCTCTTCCTCTTCCTCCCCCTCTTCCTCTTCCTCTTCCTCTTCCTCTTCCTTCCCCTCTTCCTCTTCCTCTTCCTCTTCCTTCCCCTCTTCCTCTTCCTCTCCCTCTTCCTCCCCCTCTTCCTCTTCCTCTTCCTTTCCCTCTTCCTTTCCCTCTTCCTTCCCCTCTTCCTCTTCCTTTCCCTCTTCCTTCCCCTCTTCCTCTTCCTTCCCCTCTCCCTCTTCCTCTTCCTCTTCCTTCCCCTCTCCCTCTTCCTCTTCCTCTTCCTTCCCCTCTCCCTCTTCCTCTTCCTCTTCCTTCCCCTCTCCCTCTTCCTCTTCCCCTTTTCCAACCCCATTCCCTCCTGTTTCCCATCCTTGCTGGACACAGGACCCCTGGCTTTGCTACCATATTATGATATCAAACCCTTGCTAGAGCTTCACATCTTTAAACCTAATTCTTCATTGTGCCAAACTCTGCACCCAGCCATGTGCCCTTAATGAATCCTGTGCCTGCTACAGTGATCTTAGATTATTTTGGAGTGAAATAGGCCATTTTTTGGAAAGTTTATTTTCTGAAACCAATGATGTCTGTGCTCCCTTAAGCTATATCTGCCGAGCCACGCCTATAGCTGTCATAACAAATCAACTCAACAGGCGTTGCAACATGCTATAGCCTGCTGAGTAGAAAGTCCACATGTAGTGGACTTCCAGGCCAAAGGCAGGATGGTTGTCAGAAGCCTCTGGAGTCAGTGACACCAAGAGATTTCTGATACTGTCATTAAAGGGTTGAGTTGGTATATTTGATTGTCTTAAGGTTCAAGTAGCCATTAATTTATTTTCAAAAAGCATTATTTGAAGTATATAGAAGTAGAGTATAACATTGCAAAGAGTGAGATCATGTATTATTTTTGTATTTTTTCAACCCTCTATTACTACTGACTTCTTAGGATCCTGCTTTTGCTATTAGGAGGGGTATGACTGAAGGAACTTTACGATTTTCTTCTTTCTTTATTCTGGGGAAAAAAATTTTGATGCACTAACAGGGTGGGACTTTGAGAATTAAGATTAAGGACATGTATCAAAGAGGACAGTTGAAAATAGAAAGATTGAGTGTGATGTACTGTTTGGGTATTATAAATAGATCAATTTTCATATTATCACGTGTGAAATATTAGCCTCTTCGCTTTCTTGTCTTTATCTCACAAAATTACAACTTCTAACTCTTTTCAGATGATGGGTGGAAATTTAAGGTCTTCAGGCATGGTGATGGGTCTGCGTGGCCAGTTGCCCATGGGCACCCAAACCCTGAGCGGCCCAACTCCTGGAATGGCCTCTAACTCGCGCTATCCAAATCCTGGCCCCATTCAGCGGCCACCAGCAGCCCAGGGCTCCGGCAGCAGTGGCAGTCATCGTGGTGGCCGTGGCCAGTCACAGGGCCAGCAACAGCAGTCCCAGCAGAGGAGCTCCAACCCCCCCAGCTCAGCCCAACAGGCCAAGTTGAGGGCAGATGCTTTGAGCACCACCCAGGCGTTCTTCAACCGGGAAGGTTAGCCTTCTTGTGGTGCTTTGCGCCTCTTTCCAGCTGTTCTTTATATTGCCATTTAGTTTCTGCAGTTGTTATTGTTATAAGAATAATATTAATTATTGGTTGTATTATTATTATTGCTAGTTATTGCTATTATTATTACTATTACTATTGATATCACTTTTATTATTTCTATTATTAATAATATTACCAGCTTTGGTATATATATGACCAGGCTTGATATTTTTAGCTAGAACTTGTTGTTTTTGATTCAACAAATATACTAAAGAGTCCATTTTCTTGCACAGCTGGAAAATCAGAGAAGAAGGGAGAAGACAAGCAAGCAGAGTCGATTTCATCCACCAAGGAGGAGCTCTCAGTTGACAAGGTGTCAGCTACACCCTCCACAGCAGCTGACGGCCAGCCAAAATGAAGCCTCATGTGATTGCGGAGGCTTCTGTGAAAAACGAAGCGAGGCATTTAGCTGTCCTAAAGTGCAGGTGGTATTCAATGGACCGTGTATCATGATGGTGACGAAGTTGGAATTTATTTTTTCTTCCTTATTTTAAAAGATCATGTTTTAATTATCCATAAAGTTATTCTTTCTTTTTTTTTATTACCATTATTTTTTCTTAAGACGAGAAAGTTCTTATCTTTGGAAGAAGATTTATATCAGTAATGAAAAAAAAAAAAAAATCGTAAATAAAATGATAAACCCAGTGGTGAGGCAAGATTTGCTGTGGTTGAACAATTTGAATTTGTGGTTTATTTCTCTATTGAAAGGCAAAGTGCGTAATGTTGAGTGAACTTTATTTTCCTCTATTTGAAAAGCTTTCAACGCTGTGCTAGAAACATAGACATGATTGATGCTATGGTTTCTTTTAGAAGTGTTAAATGCATATGGACGGTGCATATGTTACTCTTGGTTGATTTTTGTATCTTGTCAGTTAAGTAAGGACTCAGTGGTACTGGGAAGGGCACCTGTGCTTGTTTATTTAATACAAGAAGATACTACTCCACTAAAGGAAAGTAAGTGTGTAATGCACATGAGTCTCTCTTCTAGTTGTTAAATGATTTCTTTTGGTTTACTGGCTCAGGATTGATGGTTCCTGTAGCTACTACAGAGTAGGGTTAGAAATGAGCTTTTTAAGAAAAGGAGGGTGTTACCCTTTGGAAGATATCCCTCTTGTGAAAATGCTATAGAAAGTAATGCTGATCACTATATAAGAACATTTTTGAAGCCTAAGACATTATTACTGGCATTTACATAAGAAACAGGTTTACATTGACAATGTAAAGAGCGTGACCAAAGTGCAAGAGGCGTTTAATGATGGGTGAACCCTGCCAATCTTACACCATAGAGAAGAGAGTAATGACCAGGCCATGGGTAACCCGTGACGCTGTCTTGCCTGCTGGCCATGGCGCCAACTTGCTGCTGAGGAACCTGGGGAAACTGGGGCCATTGCTAATGTTATGGGACACATGGCGACAGAATACACACCCATTACCTGTTCCCTTGTTATTTTCAGGGAAAGGGTTAGGCACCCCTGGCCACCATGCTCTACTGTCACTGCCCCTGATGGTATGCTGTCTGGCTAGCTGAGGTTCCAATATGTTATTGTAACTTGTGGCATTTTACCATGTGTATGACTTGATATCGTTCCCTCATTGTTACGCTGTTGAAAAGCGCACTGTATGGGCAACTCTGGGAAGGCTTCGTGTTGCTTCACGTGGCAGTGGCAGCTAGTGGGTGTGGCAAGAATTACAATATTGGCTGCGGCCTACCCAACCAACCACACCTGCATACCACCCACGTGGCACGCCTACGTCACAGTCTTTTAATTTTAATTGGCCCCACACTATTGAATGGATGGGACTCTTTTAGACCCCTCAGCTTTTATACTGATCCAGAGCGAGTGAGGGGCCTCGCCCCCTCCTCAACACTCTTAGCAGCAAGTTCAACACACCTTGTGTAGTTGTCTTATTGCAATAAACTCAATGTCTCCTGGAGTGTGTGTTACTTTGCAATCCTTATGAGCTAGCTTATGATAGACAAAGTAAGCTTAGACAAATAAAGAGAAATCCTAAGGATACATGATACTGCTGTCTGCTCTTGACTGTATTAATGTACCTTGCAAACCTTACAGGTAAAATGGCAGTTTTTGTAACTTATTGTAGTTTTATCTGAAAATTTGATTTAGGCAATTGATAATGTATGTATGGTATATTTAAACAACAGTCATTAATGCATGTTGAGTTTGATATTATTTATCTCATCTTTGTTTATTTAGATAGCAGATCTATTTACTTATGAACATTATTATTACTATATAGATACATTGCCAACAGTTAGTGTTAACTACTTCATTTTGGGATGTATAATATTTTGGATTTTAGGAATTGGGAGAAAAAATGGTAAAAAGGGAGGCTGTTCTGTACTCTTCGCCTCACCAACTAGTACTTACAGTATGCTGCACGCATAGAACTGTCTTGCTCAACTAGACTTATCTTAGAAACTGTGTGGTAACTTCACACTTTTAATTTCATTTCCTTTCTTCTGCCTCGTATCCTTTCTCTCCCTTACACCCAAGTGACAGTGATTGAAACACTTCTTTCTTGATATTATCCAAAGACAACATTTCAGTTTACATATCTTAAACAAATGTAGAAGAAAACATTTATTCCCACTATGAAATAAAGAGAAAGCGATCCATTTAACTGGATATCTTATTCATTTTCCCACTCATTAGGCTTCTTGCTTATTTTTGAAATATTTTTAGTGTGTAATAGTGATAGGTGATGTACATTTGAATTTGCTCTTTACTTATTCATTTTATTTATTTTTATTATTATTTTTTAATGTAAATATTGACTGTGAGAGAAAGATTCAAAATGTGAATCTTTTGATTTTCAGTGTTGCATAAACACGCAAGAAATAAAAAAAGGAGTTTTCTTTTGAGAATGATAGTATATTTGCATACAAAGAATTATATGCAGTCAAATGTTATAATTATCATTGATGTTTGTTACAATGTTCTCAACAGAAATAGAAATAGCCAAGTTTTCTAAAGAACATTTAAAATGACTGCTAATAGTAAGCCCATCAATAGCAACACAGATCTTCAGCAATTTTAGTTTTTAGAGACCATACACTAAAGTATAATTCAGATATTGCTCTCTTTATTTAAATAAACTTGATTGTATTGCTGATACCCATGAGCCATGTCCAGACGCATAGGCATCACTGTCAGGCATACCTCGAGTAGTGGTGTCAGGAGTTAAACTACTGACTAAACAACCAATTTGCAATAGGCATTGGTCGTTCAGCCAGTATTTAAGTGCCTTTGACACCGCTTAACAGGCATACTCTCTTGTCTGGACATATCTTTATTTTGGATAGCAGAAGGATATATTTCCTTTAAATATTGACTTGAATATATACACACACCCCTCATATCTCTTACATGAAAATATTGTGAATATATTCCTTTTTAAGATTTTATTATATGTAAGTTATTTAAGTTCATTACATCTTGTTTTCATCATGTTTATAGATGTAGAAAACTAAAGCCTCACTTGAAAGTGATTGCATGATTAATTTTGAGTTTTAGTTTGTTAAAACTATAGGACTATTTAAGAAACAATACAAGGACTGCAGTAACGAGAAAAAAGAAAAAGAGAAATGCTTAATGGCTGAATATCGAAAAAGTAGAAGGAAGGGAGCACTTCTCAGTAGCACAAAGTTAATCTCAGATTATTAAATACTAATGCTAATACAGAAAGTGGCAGATGTCCATACAATATTATTGTACACACGAGAATAAGAGAACAAGCCAATGACTGTTATGCATAGTGGTGCCAAAATAATTACTATGGAATTTAGCAAAAATTAAGCCTGGCAGGTTGACAGTGATTGATAATTATAGTATGGCCATGACAAATTGTAAAAATCCATGATTGGGCATTGGCAAGTTATTGGTGGATACGATGACATACAAAATAATGGCCAGTATATTAACGGAGTGCCTAAAGATCTCACATGAGGACGGATTGAGGAGTTAAGGTAACTGAACGAAACAAAAGAAATAGGCTGAATATCAGAGTATCACATGAAATATTGGGGTAAGACCTGCAGGAGATGATATTTATCTGACAAATTCAAATATCCAGTTTACACTGATAAATAATCTTAATTGGGAGAAATCGGGTGGGTAAGGCGTAACTATTGCTTCCATTTGTTGTCGTGAAGGGGCTGAGGAGACGGAGGCTGTGGCCCATTGTAGGGGATCACCCCTGTCCTGGACCTCAGCCCTCACATCAATTAATTTTGCATGGTCTTTTATTCTCCTCCTTTCTTTTTCCTTTTTTCATCCCCTTGTTCGGTACACTTCTCCAAATCATTAAACTCATTTGTGCCGTTTTCGCCACAATACATATAATGCTCCCTAGTCCCTTCTAACAACCTTTACCATTTACTATACCCCATCAGCTCCCTCTCCTAACCCTTTCCGCTACTATACTTTACCATAGCGTCACATGACCTTTGATATCATATAGCACTTGCTTACCAGGGGGCTTTGCACACAAGCCTTATGCTATCACTTTATTTTGAATACGCTGCTATTGACCCGAGATGATGCGGCAGAAAACAATCCGTAAATAATAAATGGTTGTAGTCCTGAATACAAGTTTTACTGAATAATGAACTTTCATTATTTTCAATTGTTCTGATGTAGACTCCTTTCAAGTTAACTAGAAATTGGAAGTTCTATTTAATTAAAGTCAAAGTGGATCACCCCTGCCTTGGAGCTCAACCCTTGCCTTAACTAATTTTTAATGGTCTTTTCTTCTCTTCTTCACCTCCTTCTTCTGTCCACTTTTCCTAATCGTCAACTGATATTGTCATAATGTTGTGTGACCCCTGATGTCTGGCACATTTGTTTTGACTATTGACCATTCTGGAAGTCAAAAAAACATTGCCTTGTGAAAAAAAAAAAAAAATCTTACCTGGGGGCATCGTCCCAAAGCCCCACCCTATCGCTATATTCTGAATAAGCCACTAATAACCTTAGATGTTGACAGGGCAGAAATCTTCCGATAGATACATGCATATATACAGATGGAGTCGCGGGGGAAACTTACTCGGCAAACAAGTAGTTTCCTGGCTTATGGTGGCACCTCTATGGTTGCCTGTCTGTGTAAACAAACCCTTAAATCTCTGTCCGTTACTGTTTCAGTAAGGGATTTATCTTTCTTTAGCTGTGCCACTACTTCCTGTTTTATTTCATATACCTGTATTTTTTTAATGTGGATTCTAGTTACATTAATCATCCAACCCCCCCCCCCCCAGTCCCTTGCTCGTTGTTGCCGTGGGGAGGGGGTTAGGAGCAGAGACTGGGGCCCAATGTGGGGGATCACCCCTGAATAATAAATGGTTGTAGTCCTGAATACAAGTTTTACTGAATAATGAACTTTCATTATTTTCAATTGTTCTGATGTAGACTCCTTTCAAGTTAACTAGAAATTGGAAGTTCTATTTAATTAAAGTCAAAGTGGATCACCCCTGTCCTGGACCTCAGCCCTCACATCAATTAATTTTGCATGGTCTTTTATTCTCCTCCTTTCTTTTTCCTTTTTTCATCCCCTTGTTCGGTACACTTATCCAAATCATTAAACTCATTTGTGCCGTTTTCGCCACAATACATATAATGCTCCCTAGTCCCTTCTAACAACCTTTACCATTTACTATACCCCATCAGCTCCCTCTCCTAACCCTTTCCGCTACTATACTTTACCATAGCGTCACATGACCTTTGATATCATATAGCACTTGCTTACCAGGGGGCTTTGCACACAAGCCTTATGCTATCACTTTATTTTGAATACGCCGCTGTTGACCCGAGATGATGCGGCAGAAAACAATCTGCCTTGGATCTCAGCCCTCGCCTCAACTAATTTTGCATTGGTTTTTCTTCTCTTCCTTTCCTATTCCTCGTCTTCTTTATCCCTTCTTCTGTCCACTTATCATAATCGTTAACTCATTTTTACCCCTTTCACCATAATACTTCGCCATAATGCTGTGTGACTTTTGGTGTTGGGTCACATTTGTTTTGACTATTGACCAAACATCGCCTTGTGGAAAAAAAAATCCTAACCGGGGGGCTCCCCACCCTATTGCTGTATTTTGAATATGCCGCTAATGACCTTAGAGGAAACCACTCTATGAACATTAACTTGATACCTACTTGATACTGATCTGCTACTTAAAGTAGAAGTTTAAAATTGGCAGGGACTTTCCCAGCAAAAATACATTTGTTAACTTTGCATCCTTTAGATTTGAACTTCAAAACACAGAACATAGACAACCATTATTTTCATTACACACAACAGCTAGTGTATGCGAGCTCTTAAAGTCTAGAAAACTAATTAATTTATAGAACCAAAATGTAAAGCAAAAAGGGGACACTAACATGTCAGGAGATTTATTAATTTATTGAAAAATTTCGATCACATCATCTCAGGTCATTAGTGGCGTTTTCGAAATATGGCGATAGCATGAGGCTTGGGGGCGAGGACCCCAGGTACGAAAGTGCTATATATCATCAAAGGTCATATGGCGCTAGGTAAAGTATAGTAGCGAACAGGATTAGGAATGAGTTCAAGTTTAGGGTAAGGTTTCAGGTTGAACAGTACCAGAGGGTAGTATGATAGTGGAGAGAGGGAGTTGATGGGGTACAGTATAAGGTAAAAGTTGTTACATTATCGATTACGGCAAACGGATAGAACAAGGGGGACAAAGAAAAGGAGAAGAAAAGACCATACAAAATTAGTTGAGGCGAGGGCTGAGGACCAAGGCAGGGGTGTTTCCCTACATTGGGCCTCAGTCCCCGCCTCGAGCAAGGGACATGGGGGGGGGTGCCATGTAAAGCTATATATCTATACAATGTTGATGTATAATTTGTTTATTTAAAAAACTGGAATCAAGCTTCGGTAAATTTCTCCCAAACC